TGTTTTATAACCCTTTTTTTAGGAAGATTTATTATATATTTTTTAATAGAAATTAATTGGCTAATTTTACATTTTTCAAAAAAAAATATATAATATAAAAAGAGGAATTGATTTTTTTTAGAAATGTAAAAATAATGAATGCCGATCTACCTATTTGATTATTAAATCATTAGGGCCGCATTTATATTAAGCGCCAAAAGAGTGCGGTATCTAGCGATGAGACATACCGTGATTAATTAAATACATCACTATACTCTGATATGAATGCAGCTTAATTGTATATTAGGGGTGCGCCAAACTCGGTTCGATCTCTCAATGTTTTGCCAGGCCCATTATAATTTTTTAAAATATTTGTCCAGCCCTTAGAATTTTACGAAAAGTCTGGTCCGCCGGAAAATTTTATAAAAAGTCCCCCTCCCCTGTCCGTAAATTTTTCTGTACTAATTTACCAGTCATCACATTTTTAATATCTATACCTCTATGGCTATCTAATAGGCATATCTCTTTAAAAATATGATTTGACTGCAATTGAGAGGCAGGTTTCCATATTAACTAAAACGAAGATTATAGGCTATTATTTCCATAAGAGAAGAAAAATTACCTGAAATTTTGTTTACGTCATGCTAATTTTTATAGCCTAATAGTGTGACCTAATTGAGCGTTTTCGAAAAAAGCAAATCAATTTGCGTTTTTATTAATGTTTAAAAAATTGTAAGCCGATACATTTGAAATACATTGTTTGCGTTTTGCGTAACCAAACGCAGACGCCTAATTAGGTTGATGAAAAAATTTTTTTTAAAAATACGACAAAAAAAAGAAAATTAAATTGGGAAAAATAAATAATTTGGATAAAAGAGCTTAGGGAAAACAAAATAAACAAGATTTGGTAGTGTGTATGTACCTTATTGAGTTATAAGAATCAATCAGGAATTTTCTATCTTGATTACTTAAAAACCATTGAGTTTCCAGATGGTATAATGGAATGGTGTTGTATGAATGCAAAAAGCCTGGGATGTATTTTTTTAAAATATAATAAATGCTGTTAAATATCAAGATATCCTCGAAGAAACACTGATGCATTAATACAGTATTATGTCATGAAGCAAATAACATTTTCCAGCAAATCCAAACCCACAAAAACTTTCTAAGGATCATAATATTCATTAGTTACCTATTTCCAAATTTTCTATTGAAAACATGGGGTCAAGCGAGAGCTTAGAAAACAGCGATGTAGAAAAATTATTATATGAAGAATAAATTAGAGTTTATATGGATATCTACAAGAATATGTGCCAGAATCTTATCAATTCAATGCCACAAAGAATAACCTTTGGTATAAAGGCAAAGATAGATATAACGCAATTTTTAACCTAAATTTATTTATCAAATTTCTTATATTCTTTCAATTTTTATGGCAAAAGGAAATACAATCTTTTATTTTTTCTTACCATATTATATATTTTTATCGATTTAACAAAATTTATACAAAATCGAAGATTCTTTAAAAAGAGATTTATGTTTATGTCTAAAACAAATTATTCGTTTACTATTAATTTATATAAAATGGAATTTATTATAATCAGTTTCATAAGGAATAATGCCTTTAAAACCAATATTTTAAATTTTTGGCTCGATATCAATATATAAGCTTCCTATCATTTTTGTATTTTAAAGTATTTTAAATTATCTACGCATTATAACTTATGGATGAGACATTGAAAATTAAAATATTAGTACACTAAATGTGTAATGGCTAAATGTCGGTTAATTTGGCTTAATCTATAAGTACATGCTGAAATTTCATTAAAATTAAGGCGTTTTATTCTTACAAATTTGAGCTGCTATATTTTTAAGAAAAACCCCGAGACCAGAGTTTTCTGCTAAAAACTCGGGTTGGCCCATTGTTAAAAATTAGTAATTACCCAACTATACCTTCTACATACTTAAAAGATGATAATTTAAGGAGAGATTTTTGATTAGCTTTATTAATTTGGTTTATCAGGGATTCAAACCAAGTTTGAACGAAATCGGTATTAACCATTATAATTTACCGAACCTGAGCCGTTAAAGATTTTGCACCATTCTCTTTTGTGCAATTTACGAATTTTAAAGCTGAATTTAATCTTTTTCTCTTTTATTATTGATAATAAATGGGTTATTCTTAGACTATATGAAATTATATGATGCAAACTGATTTTTAAAAATGTTTTAAAGTAACATTCCCTTGAAATCTTATTTGAGAGGTGAAAACAGAAATTCATTAAGAAAATATTTCAAAGAAATGACATGCCCATTTTTAAGAATATTTACCCTCTTTTGAATTGATATTCTTTAGTCGTCCTTTATTTTAAGTAGGTTAAAAACCCCCATATTTTTATATTTCTGTTGCTATCTTTCTTCCAAAATTTTCTCTATTAAATATATTTGAAGAAAATAATCCTTGAAGATCACAAAATTGATGATATTTTGTAAAAAATAAAATTTTTCGTGATTTAATCATTAATGATTTATTAACGCTAATAATCACAAAAGATTTTTACAATAAAGTTTTTAATTTTGTGTAAATTTGATCAAAATAATACTGTTTTTGAACATTCTCAAAAAAATCTTTTCATAAAAAAATTTTCAGATATCAAAAGTATTTTCAGATTTTTTTGTTTTGAAAATCGTTTTAAACTCTGAAATTGATATAATAATATAAATAAAATAAGCAGACTATTGTTAATTTAAAAGAATAGGATGGACAAATGAATATAGACGAATAATATTTGAAGGCGATCATAGCTAGTGTTTTTAAAGTTATTTTTTAAAAGTAATTAGTTATACTAAAAAGTTACTTTCGAAATATAACTAGTTACATAGCATAATTACCTTAAAATTTACCCAATTCTAATAATTACATTAAACTTTAGTGCATTAGACAAAAGTAGTTTTAAGAAAAAAAATAATCTTATCATTCTTTGTATATGTTAGAAGTTTAGCAAACTAAGGGACTATGCTTCCATAGACCATAGTTTTTTAGCAGATTTTTGAAACATAAATTATCTATAACCCGCGTTTTTAAAATTTATTTTTATCGTATTCCAGTAGTGTTCACCTTGAGAACTTTAGAAAATTTTGCCATGTTTTTTTAATTTGTATAATATGATAGTTCAATAAAGGTTTACGACAAAATTCTCTTATTTTCACATAGTAGGTCAGGTACTCTTCCAAAAATCAGGTCCTTTAAAGTAAAAAAAAGGGCCAGTTATAAATGATTAGATTTTTAAAAATTTTCTAAAAACTCAGAAAGTTTAACCCTACTACCTATATTTTATCTATTATTTCTCAAATAGGAATAAATAATTGCTTTGTCAAAAAAATTTTAAGTTTATATCAAAGATCTGCATAGCTGGGATAGACCTTTTTTTAAACTTCCGGTCCAGCCCAATAAAATTTTACGAAAAGTCAGGCCCGGCCAGGGCCATTATTTTTTAGACGAATTTACTGGGCAACACATTAATATCTATATCTAATTTTTCAACAATGTCCATTAAAGGCTCTTTATCTCTACTCTAAGGCTAAAAACAGTTATAAATCAATTGTATTTTGATATCTGTATTGTGTATATTTGTAATATTATCATTATTAGGGATGTACCGATATTTTTTATTGGATCGGGCCGATATTTCATCCATTTTAAAATATAGGTTATCGGCAAATATTATAAAATTTTCCGATCCGATCTGATAAAAAATGGCGTTTTTAACAAAAATAAAATGTTATAAATTTAAAAAAAAAGTTATATCTAAAATCATTTATTTTTATAAATAAAATCGAAATCCAATTCTATGTTTATTTTTTTAATAATAATAATTAATTATAAACTTTTAGAATTGCTAATTGAATATAAACTATAACTGATTATATAATATATTTAAATGATATAAATTATGGTATAGTTAGATTATAAATGTTATACTAATAAAAAGTATATTAAACATTAAAACCATTGGTATCTTTACAGAATACAAAATTAGATATGATATCGGATCGGTATTAGGCCGATATCAATTTAATATCTGGAATATCGGATCGGCCTTCAAAAAGTAGTATAGGTACACCCATATTCATTATCATAAATAACTTGTGTAATTTTTTGTGAATTTACTCTTTGTTTATTAGTTAGATAGACCTTAAAATTTATAGAAATATGTATCTTGTTAATCCGTAAATTTAAATAGTATTCATCAAAATCAAAAATATTAGGTTGAAATTTAAAAACATATCAAATTTTTATGACTGTGTTGGCCTATAATTTCACGAAAATCTGAGATCTCTTGTCCGATTTATATATATGAATTGTTTATCGCAGTACATTAATTTTTTATGTATATATTTCCCGACCTGCCCCATTAAATTTTTCCCGACCCGCGAGTTGGATTTTGGACGGATCGGGCTTTGAAGATTTCTACTACATACAAACAAAATCTTATTACTATATTCTATTAAAAGTGTATAATTAATTTAATTTACAAAAATACAAGAAGTTTGATAACCTTAAATCGAAAAATAAATTTCTCACCTAAATTAAATTGTAAAGTTGTTTAAAAATTTTAAACAATAATATTATCACAAATTTCATATATAACTGGTGGGAAAGAATTACAAACAAGATTTATTTTAAATTTTAATTTAAAAAAATTAACAATTTATTAAAATTGTCTATCTTTTTATTTAACATATAATAGAATAAAAAATGTAAATGTAACTAGTTACGTTCCCCATTCCCAAAAATTTAACTTTGCAGGCTAAAGTTATCTTTTACAAATTGTAACTAGTTATATAGTTCATCAAAAAAGTAACAACACACACCATAGCATAATGGTTTGACAGTTCATTTAAATTATAATGTTCAAGTTATTATAAGCATATGTTTATAAATAATATTTAATTATAAATGGCATTTCTTACATTACAGCTTCTTCATTTTAAATGTTTTATGTTATACTCATTACTAGATTTGGTGAATTATACCAATGAGCCCAACATCTCGATACCCCAAATGGCCAATCATTTGATAGATCGCAGCATGAGCAGCAATTGGGTGGTAGTTTACAAATCGCTCATATCGGTTCATCATCTTATGTGTTACGGTAACGAGGTAATATATAATATAAATTAAATTGATAAGAGAAAAGTAGGAATAAAAAAAACCAACAACGAATAAGTACAGAAAAATGATAAAATTTTTCTCGCACCTATTGCAGTAAAGATAGGTGAGAAAATCTTCTTAATTGCCTAGAATTTTTTTAAACATGTTATTCCATAAATCTTAATTAATTTTTTACAGTAATAATATGATACATTTCCTTATATTCGCATTTACCGATTTGATTTGGCATTACAATATAACCGATATCGATATTTATATTGATTTTTTTTTACTATATATCTTTGAACCTATGTCTTAAAAACCACTATTATTTTTTAATAAAAAAATCAACTATTCGCGAATGATGAAGTGTATTTTATTATTTTTTATTCTCCAAATCTTCTCATTTAAAATACGGATAATGTTTATAGCTAACTAAATATAGTTTTGCTAGATTTCGCTGATTTTTAAAAACGGCTTCAAGGGTTTAGCTAAAATATTAACCAAATAATAGAAATAAAATCTCCAAACTTGGGTAATTTACTTTGGCTAAAATCTTGAGTTAGCCTTCAAAAATCTGTTAAACTGTTTACACTAGCTGAATGTAATTTAGATATATAAAAGCCTTTTCCAGATAATATAACAAAAAATAGGGTAAAATTTTTAACTATTTTTTAAAATATTACTACAAGTTACAACAATTAGTTTCTTAATTTATAATATGAAATTATATATAAAATAAAAAAATTATATAAATATACATGCAATCATAAAATAACCCAAAACAATAAAGATATCGGATGGGTTTTATGGCAAGTTCTAGTTAATATAGAGATGAATGTATGAGATGGGATTTGAGTTAGGAAATTATCTAAAAAAAATATTTATTAATAATTAAAACAGGTATTTTTTGCCAATTGTTTTTCTGTATTCTAAATATTTAATAACCTTATTTATGCTATAATTAATATTTTATCTCCAGCGATTTACTCAATATTTGGCCACCAATAATTGTGCATTTCAACTTAGCAATTTTTTGGATCGTAGTACCTCAGCCGGTAATGGTGTTTTTTTTAAAATTATTTTGAATAATTATTTTTTTATGAAGTGGTTATAAGACTTGTTATATTAGGGAATTCCTATTGTTTGGTAAAACAATTTAAAATCTAAAGTGATTGGCTAAATAATAGAAAAAGACAGGACTCGAAGATCAATCGAACTCAATTTTTGAACCCGCTACTTAGTGATCTATATCTCCCATAAAATTGTCTAATTTAAAAAATAGAGATTTTTTCTCTCAACACAATCAACACCTTATTAAATTTTATTAACCTACGCACCTATTTTATTTGAAACTGGTGCCAAAATTAAACATATTGTGAAACAAAACCATTTTTCTCTCAACAATTCATTTGAAGTAATTATTATATATATTATATTAAAAATCAATAAAAAAATCGATTCACATTTAAAATATAACTTATATATTCGAATTAAATTTTAAGAAAAATTTTATTAGATTTTATTGCCAATTTTAGATATAAATGAATATTATGAATTATATAAAAAAATAGAGTAAAAAAAAATAATGGATGGATATCCAGCTCATTTATCATCATCTTACACATTGAAATCACATTATTTAAATAAACTTTATTCAAATAATGTACTATATAAGATATACTATACGGTATGCCTATTAAAAACTAATCGAATAGTACTGGGTACGAATAGTAAATTATTTTTTCTTAGAGAACTAATAAACAATTATACGATTCGAAAAAACGAATAATTTTAATATTAGATGAATAATTCGTTTTATTCGAATCAAATTATTTGGATATTTAAATTATTCAGTAATAATAAGTAGTGTAATTAGTAAGGTACATCAACTGCCTGTGTAAGGTTTTTTTATCTGTTGGAACTAATTTGCTGTCAAAAAATCACATGTTATTATGAAGAAACAATAAGAAAGACTCTTTGCTTAAAAATTGGCTTGGCATTATATAATGATGAATATGTGTTTTAGGGTTGACAAAAATAATATTTTCATAAAAAGAACCATTAAATATAATAAATTATGAAAATTTTCTTAGCATCATAATATTGATATTTATTTAAATAAGGAAAAATTGAAATAAACAGAGATTTTTTTCCTTAAATTTAAACAATAATTAAAATGATTTTTTTAAAATTTATTATATTAAAAAATTCATTTCAGGATTAACTCAGTATATAAAATCATATTTAATAAAATTTGTCAATTTACAATGTAGTGCAAAATATAGTAAAATAAGATAAAACCCATCGATTACTTATCTGCTCTTGCTCTCTCACTTAGTTTCACAGAGAGTATGACTTGTAGACTTTTGGGAAGTGATCGCGTGGGACTTGGGAAATAATTATATCCAGAGGTGAAAATGGCTAAGAAATAAAATTTGGATATGGCTCGTTTAATGTTTTCCAAAAGGTAGATGTGTAAACCAATAATTTATACAATGAAAGTAAATGTGCTATTTGAGTTAGGGTATCTTTAGAGCATAGAGCAAAAATGGGCGCGTAGGAACGCGCGCAATGGAAATATGGAATGGGATTATAGGGGTCTAATAACCACTTATATATGTGATTACCTCTAGCTAATATTATAAATGATGGTGTAATTTCAATATTTGGGATTACTAATTGATTGGCAGGAAGATTCCGAGTGGCTAAATAAGGGTATACCGGGTGCTGGAGTAATATTTGTCTGTTTCCATTACACCCAAAACAAACCCAATAATTCTAATAATTTTACTTTACAAAATGAATGTTAGAGATGTTTGATTTATTATTAGAAATTTTAATATTTGGGTTATAAATTAATATTAAGTTTTGGGCAGCGATAATTTTATACCGTGAAAGTGGAAAATCTGTTATTATGACATAATATTTGGTTCTTTAATAAAAAGTGTATTAGTATTATATCTATTAACGAATATTAGTAATAAGGGAACTTGAGGGGAACGTTTATGATAGATGCCGTTAAGGGGCATGATTAAGGTAATATATAAAGAGATATAAATAAATATTTTTTATAATTTTTGACTTGATATAATGATTGTGTGATTTGTTGTTGGATTGGGTATGTCTATTTGAGATTTCGTTTAATATTTGTTATTTTAAATTGACAACAAATATATGTTTTACCATGCACTAAAATGAAAGGGCAGAAATATAAAAGCATAATATTACTGGTACAGGGACCTGAATTGAAATGGATGATAAAGGTATCTTAGTCTTCTTAGCATAATACAGACTCTATACAATTATTTTATGTAACAAGAACTGTTGGGATAGATATTGCTGAAGAATTTGTATTATATAAGGATTTATATAAAAAAAATTTATTTGAGTTTGAAGAGTTTTTAATGGAAACTTCTAAAAAGGTTTGAATACAAATGGTAAAATAAACACAATGTTATATAGAAATATACTTTAATATTAGGTAAATATGGAGATGTTTTCTATAACATAATTTTAGGCATAAAATAGTGAATAATTAAACATCATGGATCAGAGTATTTGTCGAATATGAAGTTGGTTTTTTGGTAAATATATTTGAGGCTAATAAAAATAAGGGTTTAGTTATATGCAAAATATATAAAAACTTTTTAAATAAAGACTCTCCTTCAACGCCGTCAATAGGGGAGGGGGAGCCGTCGCGTTGATGAATAGAATTCATTAAAGAAAGAAGCTACAGTTTAATGTACCTAATGATTAATATATTATCCTTATATTTTGCTATGGGCAAAAATAATTTAGGAAAAGATTGATATGAAATAATTTATGTTTTCACCAAAATATTTTTTTCTAATATACTCAATCTATATATGGGTTTAAAGGATTTTCTTTCGCTAAATAGTTTGACATTGGAGTGATTGAATTGTGTAAGGCTATATTGTAAAGAATAGTCTGGTGGAATCTATATAAACTTGAACATATCTGTAAAATTCCTGATAAAGGATAGGAAGCGTAGCAAAAATAGCGTCTAATTTGTTTCCAGAAAAGATAGTAGAGCGTTTTGGGGAGAGAAGTGTTATAATGAGATATAATATATATAATTAATGTTATAAATATCATATACAATACATTATTATGATGATTGACATTATTGATATGTTATATACGAATTGCGATAGATATGTCACACACGAGTTACCATATTGATATATATATATATATGTAATAAACGAATTTTATATTGGCGAAGTATTTCTAATTATGAATAAAGAAGAAAAACCAATTACTAGTGGTGAAATGAATATATCAAGTGAAACGAATAATATTAATCAAGTAAATAATATTAGACAAATTAAATTTGATAACTTTGATAAACAAAACAATTTTTAAGATTATATTGAATATATAGATTAGAGGAATATTAATAAATAAGGAAACCAAGAAAAAAAATATTATTTGCTTATATGGGGATTAGTAATTTGGCAGAGATGACGTCATTTATATATCCAAGAATCTTGAAGGAACTTAATTATGAGGAGATAATTGAAGTGGGAAAAAAGTATTTAAGCCTATTTCAACTTTATTCAGCCCAAGAATTAAGTTTATTCGAATAGAAAGAGGGGAAGGTGAAGCAGTTGCTGAGTTTGCAGGCCGGCTTAAAAAATTGGCACAGAGTGTAAATTTGAATCTGACCTGGATGGGAGATTGAGAGATCAAATGGTGGCTGGAATCAAAATGGGTGCATTGGAGAAAGATATTCGCACCAGATTTCCAGATGAAATAAATGACATGGGAGAAAGGGTGAGTTTTCAAATAGTTTTAAATATGGCTTTGGCAATGGAAAGAGATGAGGATTAAGTTACAAATATGATGGTAAAAAAAAGTCAATAAACCTAAGGAACAAATAAAGAATAATTAAGGAAATTTTTTTAATCAAAAGTACCCATATAATAATAATAAAGAAAAAGGAAATTTTAGTTATTACAATAATAATAATTATAACAATTTTAAGTATAGAGATAATAGTAAATTTAACAAAAATGATATGGTAAAAACAATGACCGCTCACGATGTGGAAGAACTCACCTCTCTTTTCAATGTTTTGCATCAAGGGTGAAATGTCACATTTGCCAAAAGGTAGGGCACTATGCAAAATACTGTAAGGGATGTAAGCTACATGCTATGCACCAAGATGACAATGACTCATCAGATTCGATTAATAACATTTCCCAAATTGGTAGAAACAGTGCTGAGATATCTGTAAGGATAAATGGAGTACCTATTGAATTTGATTATGACGGGCGCACAGGTATCGCTAATTGGGAAACAATATTGGGATGAAATTGGCAGACCTAAGCTTGGACCAACAAATCCTTTGTCAGTTTACGGTAACCAGCCGCTGGACGTACTTGGTGAGACTATGGTAAGGGTGCGACTTGAAAAGATGAGTAGATCTACCGATTGTGATTACCCGTTCAAATGACATACCTATATTGGACTTTACCATACGAAGTATCACAAGTAAAGATGTTATAACAATCGATAAACAAATTGCTGGCATGACGACAGAATTTTTCAGTGTTTTTTGACAAGCCAGGACGAGTGAATGATATGGAAGTTAGCATACACCTGAGTGAGGCAGCAAGGCCGAAATCATGGCCAGCGCGTAGAGTACCTTTTCCATTACGAAAACCAATTGAAATGGAACTCGATAGATTGGTTAAATCAGGAATATTGAAGATGACCCAACAAAAACTCTTATGACGTGGGAGACTCCAACAGTAAACTTACGCAAAACAAATAGAGAAATCAGGATTTGTGCGGATTTTAAGGTGACATTAAACCCATTTATTTTATACGACTATCATTTAATACCAACGGATGATAATCTTTTCACCAAATTACAAGATGGTTGGAAATTTACGGTAATAGATTTGAAAGATGTCTATTTTCAATTACCAATAAAAGAGAGTTCAAAAGAATACTTAACCAAATCAACCCATATTGGTTACTTCCAATATCAATGTATGCCTTTCGGCCTTTTTAGTGCGCCGACCAT